ATGTTGAAGATCATGCAATGAAAACAAGACAGATAGACTTTTGGACACTGTGCCCATGGTGGGGTGAGAATTTTTGCAGACCCAGGGAAACACCATTCCCTCAAGCTTGTGCCTCCCAAAGTAGTAACAATACAAATCAACCTTTATCCTATAAACCCTAACATCAGAATGGAATTTCTCCATACTCTTCTTTATACATTTCCAAAGGTGCTGACAAGGAGAATTTGTATTAGAGCTTCTTTCGTTGGAGATCATTTCCTTTTTTCTTGTGACTTTAACCCCTCCACTCCCAGATCAAATTTGTAATTCTCCTTACTGTCAACAATACAATTCTTATAATGTTAGTTTAGAGAATTTAGTATTGGATCAACTAATTATCCCCAAATTGATATTAATTTTTTCTTTATTCTCATCACTTATCTGGTTGATATTGTATTGATAATGTAAGGAGAAATTCTGTCTTAGTCACTCATGGGATTTAAAGGTTAATGTGTGATTTGGGGTGGTGACTGTAAGGAGTAATAAGATGCTAGCCACTGTTAAGAGTCAAAGGAGTAGGCTGCAAATTTAGTGGCGAGAATATTTTTTAACTTGCCATGACCACCAAAAAGGTTACAGCTTGAAGCCCTGTCAATAGACAACTACTTTGTTACACAAACCTGTTCTTGATCAGGGCAAGTGGAGATCAGCTTTTTGAAGAGATTGGCCAGCCACTGTGTATCCAGAACTACTACATCTGTGAATTGCACAATCAGACCGAGGTCATGGAAGTAGTTTAACATGGTGTCTAGCTGATCATTGTCTGTGATGAAGCATTCTTTCTGTGCAACTGTGTAGATTTCCTCTCTGGTCAAGAAGAAGGTTCCACCTGCTGTTAGATTCTTTAGAGCTTTTTCAAAATTGAACCACTTCACAGGAAGGTCTGCAGTTGAAATCAACCCAGATGACAAGATCTGTTGTACTCTTTTTTGGATCTGTTGAATCTCAGGTGATTTTGATGACTGCCTGTTATCTACTCTGTAAAAAGGAGACAGTACATGTTCATGGTAGGCTTTACCTTTAAGGCTACTACTGATCTCATCTTCAACTTGTTGGATTTCTCTGGGTGAAACCTTATCAGCGTGTGTTCCCACCACAAGCACAGGTGGGGGAAGGCAGCGCACCTTTGACTTAAACAATTCTTCAACATCATGCTCCACTGGGGGCCTGCAAATGCTGTGGACTGAGACCAACCATGACAGAAGCATGTCTAAGTTTGTTTCATTTGATGTGTTCTTCAGAGGTAATTCTTGGTCTCCATGCTTAAATGATGGCTCTGCGAGGTCATTTGGTTTTTTCTCCAGGTTATGAACAAGAAGATAGATGGCTCTGTGGCAGAAGAATAAGGGATGTGTCGCATAATACAAATGCTGACCCGCGAAGTCCCAGATGTCCAGAACAGTTTCTGTAGAACTGTTCTCATTGCTTTCCTCTGAATTTTTAAGGCACTCTATTACAAGCGGGGTTAATTCATCTGGCATATCAACTTTTGGTTTCAGAGCTGGTTTTTCTTGGGATCCATCAACTAAGTCTAGTGCAAAAGCTTTTGTGGATTCTTGAGTGTGATTGGATGCTGGAGGAGTTGTGGTGAAATGAAACCCACTCAGCTGTGGTGGGACACAAAATGATACACAAGATAAATGCAAAATAAATTAAGGTGGCTCAAATAATTTTTTTTAAATCTGCTTAAATGTACATTACAGTATCATTATGTGATGAATTGAGGCTACAAGACTTTTTCATTTGTTTCCTCAAAGATTGTATGTGGCAAAGATCCAGTGGTTGCTAGACAAGTTGTGATCACTTTTCCTGAGGTTTAAGGATGCTACTTGTTCCACAAGTTTTTTGTGTCCATAACTCTAAAACAATCAGCTTCAATAAAGATATTTCTTATTGCAAATTTCCTAATCAAGCTGTACATTTAGTTCTGAGCCACTTTGATCTTAAATAATCCAACAGTTGCTTTTTTTTTCTTTATGCAACATGTTTGTAATTGGAAAAAACAAGAAATGATCTATCTCAAGCTATGGACAACATACTTGTTCTTGTGGCATCTCTTTTTCCTCCTGCATTTCTTTCTTCTCAGGAGGCAAAGTTTGCTTTGGTTTTGTCTCCTTCTTCTCCATCATATGACTAGCAACCAATCTAGCAATACATCTATTCTGCGGTGTAGCTTGTTCCACTTCCTTGTTTTCTTTACTCACAGCCTTCCATTCAACTACCTGCTCAACATTGACTTCCAGTTTTGATGAATTCACTTCCAAACCTTCAGTGCTTGGTTCATCAGGATTAAAGGGTAAACCCATTAGTGAATTTTTCAGGCTTGTTTTTCCTGCCCTGTCCTGGCCAATGATCAGCAATCGAGCACGGCACACTTTGATCTTTCCTTCCAAGAGAGCAAGGTTGTATGCAAGTTGTGCTTCATTTCCGCGGGCTCTTATTTCATGTGGTACTAGAACAAATAAGAAAAAACTATTAATATAGGCATGCATTTTGGCTGTTGAAAATAATTTGACCCAGATACAGATAACCATATACAAATAAAAAGTAATGAGGCAAGTGGTTTTCCTAGTATTTAATGCTTCCCTAATTTGTCTACTGCAGACTGAGATCTTTGATTTCTGAATGACTGAATCTAAGAGAAAGAGACATGAAACATGAAACAAGAAAAATACCTTGATTATCATCATCTATTGGTATTACTTTGTCACCATCAAAAAATCCTGCAGTCCCATTCTCCTTTTGACCAAACCACATACCATGATATCTAAAATATAATAAATACATAACATGCCATCAGCTTTTCAATGACACTTTCAATGTACTCTACAACTGTCAATGTACTCTACAAAACAAGTTTGTCTTTTCTTCCATGTAAAATAATAAGGATGAAGAAGTGAAACTCTGACTTGAGCTGGCTTTTTTCTGCTGGCTTTGTTTCTTAATGACAGAAATAATCAGATACAAATATTGACCTAAAGGGGTGTTATTTCAGGATAACTTTCAGGCGATTTTGCACCACATGATGTAAAGTAGCCAATAGAGTTGTGCAAAAAATTAACGAGTGGGTTATAACATGATATATTTACCCGGCATTACACAAAAAGCACCCTGTATTATAAAAACAAGCACACTCAGAAAACTTCACATGGAAACCATTACAAGCTGTAAGTAAATGTATCTCCCAAAATCTAAAGCATGGTGACCAGTAAGAGTGCTCTCAATCTGGAACTTGAAAAAATTATTAAGAAGAAAAGATGGCTTTTACCTCGTTGCATCCTGTGATATCACCCAAAGTTTCTCTCCTTTGTCATATGAAAGCTCACAAGGTTCTGCAGAGGAATTGCTTGTTGTAAAACAGAACTTTTCTGGTCTTTCCTGAAGAATAAAAGTCATCAGTATTAAGTACTGTCTAGCAATTTACTGCATCCCTTTTCCATGTAACCAGCAAAGGTAGTTGTCACACATGGCCAGTACTTCACTCTCAACTGTTTTCAGAGTCACCATTTGGTGATCTAAAATCATAAATTGTTTGCCAGAAAAATAATTATTTTGAGTAACCATGGCAATGAAAATGGTTACGGCTCAGTACACTGGTGGTGTCTACAGAAATCAGACTGGTGATCTAAATGGTCATGAGCCAGTTCTCAAACAACTTGATCAGAAAATTTATTCAAAGTAAGAATGTGTGGTCAGCCTGTTGTTTTGATAAGGTATTCTACATATTGATTAACACCACAGTTTACAACTGTTACAGTACTCTTCTTAGCAAAAAGTCTGATACCAACAAAAAATGCCCTGTTTAACTAATTCTGACATCGAAATATCTTACAATGTTCCTTAACAAGAAGCTTTGCAGAAAGCAGAAGGAAGTTATAACTCATGCACAAGAAAAAATATTGGCAGAATTACTAGTCAGAGTGTATGTCTTGAAAAATGTGACATATCATAAATTAAAGTACACAAAAAGAGAGGAAAAGAGTGGAAAAGGTTGGGAAAAGTCCCCCCCCCCCTCGCACTTGCTCCTCTGTAATTAGTGCTTTCAATTCAAAATTACGTTATTTCAAACACCTTGGCAAGAGTCTGAACTATGTCATGGAATGTTGGTCTTTTACTAAAATCC